CTTTCTTCGAGAGGGGTGGGCCCTCAGTCGTGCGATCTTTTCTTTCCCACCCTCCGCGCCCTGAATGGTGTGGGGGATATTCGGCGGACACTCTGACTTTCTGAAAGGAAACCGTGTCAGACTCGTGGTGCATTCGTGCCTCTTTTGAGGCTGCACTTGTGTCCATAATCCTTGACTTGAACCGAAACTCGAACTCGATGCATGCCCCGACCGTTGAAAACAAGTGAGCCGATTCATGCTTTCATGTGCTTGTGAGTTTGAAGTTGTTTCTTGTCCACTTAAGGGCTTCGCCCGTACCGCGCCCCTTCGTGGGCCCCTAGGTTTATTTCTCTTTTGGAAAACCCCCAAACAAAGAACTTTTCTTCTTTTTCGGTCGGGGGATGGGTCTGCTATGGCCCTTGTCGGTGCCTCACCTTCTGCGGACCTGGCTAGGGATATCGAGGCATTAAAGGCGGAAATCACTCGGCTTCATTCGAGAGTCGCTCTTCTTGAAGAGGAGTTTGTCGCAGGCCGAAATCTGCTGGCAGCTTTAGAAAGCAAGCTTCGATTCCTCAAAGGCCGCCTCGACAGGTTGCTGCAGTTTATTGTGGACTCCCTTACCACCCTAGCTCTTGAGCTCCGACTGCAGCTTTGACATGTCTCTTTATAAAGATTTGCTTGATCGTGCTGTTCTCGAAGAACGACAAAGACAGGCTGGTGCTGCAAGCCTGAGTTTCCCTTGGGAGCATGGTGTCTACAAGGAAATTCTTGGGGGCAGTAAAGATTCAGCTACGATACCATCTGTGGAGGTTCCGCTGGATTTGCCCATGTCTTCTGCAGCCACTTTTGACGACGCGGTCCAGACCGCGAAATCTGCAGTGACCGAAGTTTCCCTCACTGCATTTTATCGTGCTGTGGTCGAGAAGGAGACCTGCGGGGTTCGCTCCAAGCTAAGTGTCGATGAGCAGATCACTCTGGTGTGTCAGAAGTTTGATCTTGTCCTTGCCCACGACTACAATGCTTCAGTTGTGGGGCGTACTGTCAGGGCCCTCGACACCCAGGATCGCCTGGATGTCATCATCGACTCCCTCAAAGACCGTGCTGTGAGCACTCTGCGAAAGAGATACCATCAAGCTTTGCATTATGTTCTACGGTGTCAGGACAATGGGCTTAAGGGCTTCCCTCTGCGCTTTGAACATGTCTCTGAGTATACCGCATGTTTGCCAGCGTCGAAGGGAGCAATGAGAGTCACCAATGCCTTGGAGATTTTCAGATTCCTGCACTTCGTCCTTGGTGTGGATGTGATTCCCCCATGCCTCGATCATCCTGTTCTTCGAGGCCGTGCCAGGAGGGAGGCTCTCTATCGGCCTCCGAAGAAGCAAGCGTGGCCCTTCCTTGCATCCGAGGTGTTAGTATTGGAAGAGTTTGTTGCTGATTATTCTCAGTCTGCCATGGATCGCTACGGGGTTGGATGCCTCCTCTTTGCAATCTATTCAGTGGCACGGCTGGGGGACCTCAAAGCTGTTGAAGCCTTCGAGCTCGATTACCTCGAGGGCCCCGATGCTTTTGGGTTTCTCGAGACTACTTCGTTCTCGCATAAAACTCGAATGACGAGCAATGCTCAGGGCTTTCAGATGAAGCTTGTCAGCCCGATCCGAGGCATCGGGCCGGGCGTCTGGGGCAATCACTTTGTTCAGGCTGCCAAGGATGTCAGGCGACCCCTCACTGCGATCAAGCTCGGTGAACCCTTGGTCCCTGCCTTGGATGTGAATGGAGACTTTCAGTCACGCCCCATGAAGTCATCACACCTGGTGCGCTGGATTAGGGGCATTTTGAGGAGCGACACCTCTACAGGTCACAGTGCCAAGTCTACAGTCCTCTCATGGCTTGCCAAGTGGGGAGGCCCTCCAGATGATCGCACAACACTTGGACATCATGTTTCAAAGGATCGCAAGAGCATGGCTACATATAGTCGTGACTTTCAGGCTGGTCCATTGAGAGTTCTGGACCGCATGCTCGGCGACATTCGATCCAAGTGCTTCCTTCCTGATTGCACCAGGTCGGGAAGATTCACTGACCTAGGACACGTCTCAGGGCGCCCCAATGTGGGGCTTCCAAAGGAGGCCGAGCCTGGAGCCTCCACACCGAGATCATGGAGGCCAAGTCCTCCAAGCCTATGCGCACAGAAGCCCAGCTTTTGGCCACGGCCCTATATGACGACACGCCTGAAATGCCAGTAGCCCATTTGCGCCTAGCCGCCAGCTGGTTGTCCAGCATTCAGACTGTCTATAGAAACGCCTGGGCCCTATGTGGAGCAGCCCACCTTAACAACCTTAAAGCCTTTGACAAAAGGGTCCTAGACCTAGCCCTACCAGACCTTGCCGATAATAGCCTAAGGGGGCCTACGACGCAGGAGCTCCTCGCCGCTGATCGCAAGATCTGGGGCACCATCGGATGCTTAGTATTCTCTGGATGGAGCCTAGATGAAGCCCTATACGAGGTTACATCCATCCGTAGTGACCTCTCCAATCTGCTGCAGCCCAGACCCAGGAATGCCTTGCCTCCCACTCCTAGTAAAGGCAGAGAGAGACCTAACACCCCTACGCCCCCTCCGCCTAAGCGAACTAGGACGACCCCGTTCACTCCGCCTAAGACCCCCAAAGGGAAAGGTAAAGGCGGCAAGCAGGGGAAGGGCCTAGCCAACAAAGCCAAAGCCGAAGATTGGCCCTCCAATTGGGTGTACAAGGCCCATGGCAAGGTCCTCTGCAAGCGATACCAGCGCAACCTATGCACAGTAGCCAATTGCAAATTCGCCCACCTTTGCGCCGTCCGGGGATGCGGCAAAGATCACTGTGCCATCCACCATGACGGCAAGACATCGTGACTAGCCTCCTCCGCCGCTCAGCCTACTGAGACCTCGGGAGAAGATACTGATGCCTCTCTATCATCCCCGCAGCCTCGTCCTCCGCTGGTCGCTGGCCAGGAGGTCGGTCAACCTCGAGGGAACACTAATGCTTCCCACTCAGCCCCGCAGCCTCGTCCTCCGCTGGTCGCTGGCCAGGAGGACGGGCCACCTCGAGCCTCCCAAGGGGAGGACAAAGGGGAAAGCCACCCCCCTATGGCAGCTCAGCCCCAGGAGAACCCATCTAAAATCCCCAAGATAGCCTCATTTAAACGCAAGTTTGCCAATAGAGTATGGACATCCCCTGCCTACAAGCAAGCCAGGCTTCAAGAAAAATTTGAACCCCCTCAGGTTCTGCTGCTGGATTCCTCAGGGGATCTAGGCGACAGGTGTAAACGCCTAGCCAACAGAGAGGCCATTCCCTTCCTAGAGCCGAGCTCACAGCCATCAGAACAAGAGTCGGGACTCATTCTGCAGTGCCTCTGGGGCCGATCCATCATTGCAGTTATAGCCTCCCTTCCGACCATAGTTCCGGACACGGAGACAGCAATTGCCCTACTGCAAGCCGCCAAGGCCTCAGCAGCCATGACGATTCTAACCATTCCTAAGGATCACGTCTTCCTACAGTCCCAGGAGCTAGCGGCGTGCCTACACGACTCGGCTTTTCATATGTGTCCTAGCCCAAGCCCTGGTGACGTCCTGTTGGCGTCTACCAGAATGCCGTCATGGCCATGCCCAGATTTGCACCTATTAGCGCTCGAAGCCCTGGGAAGGGTATGCAACCTGCCACTTCGACTGGGAAGCGTATCTGAACTGTCCTACTCCTCATTGCTGAGAGCCTCGGGCCCCTTCGTTGCCCACCGCCCGCCTATATGCGACGGCGCAGGAGCACCGAGCTCAGCAGACCATAGCTTGTCGCGCCAGTCAAACATCAGCAAAGCCTCTCAAGCCTGGTTGCAATGGGCACATAAATCAGACCTACCCAAGCGTGTCTTTGCACATATCAGCCAGAGCCGCCCAGATCACCCCCTCTCAGCCGAGGAGCAGTCTCAAGCCCTTGAGATTCTTTGCTCTGCCTTAAACCTAGACCTCGCCTCCATGGCGGTAACCAGTCCAGGCCAACCCTTTAGACTCGCGCTCATGCAAGCCCTGGCCCAACGCATTGAAGACCCCGATGCCGACCTACCCTCCATGCTGGCGGAAGGCGTACGTACAGGCGTCTTCTCGGAGATTGCACCCTCTGGTTTGTGGCCTCCAGCCAAGCTGCAGCCCCTAGCCCAGTCAGGCCTAGAAGTCTGCCAAGGAAATTGGCGCCCAGCGGAAGAAGACCCGGACACGGTCGCTGCCCTACTAGCCGATGAAGAAGCAGCGGGATGGATACAACAAGTGCCAGGGGGCCTGAAGGCAGCCAAGAAGAGATGGCCTAAAGGCATTGCAGTCGGCAAGCTCAGCCTAGTCAAAGCCGAGGGCCGAGATCCTCGCCTCGTATTGGACAGCACCGTCTGCCAGGTAAACCCCCTCTGCCGAATACCAGAGGCGGCTCGATCGACTTTAAGGCAGCCCATAAAAGGGTCAAAGTCCATGACACAGAACAGGGCCTACTGCTATTTGCCTTTAACGGTACCTTGTGGAGGTACGTAGTTTGCCACTTCGGAGCCAAGTTCTCGGCCTATTGGTGGCAACGCGTGGGTGGCCTCATTACCAGAATCTTACATGCCAGCCTAGCCCAACACCCACACAGGGCTTGGCTGTACGTGGATGATTTGTTGGCCGCCCTGCTTCGCACTTCAGCCCAGGACTCTCTCCTTATCTTAGTCCTACTCCTTTCCTGCCTCGGGGCGCCGATCAGCTGGAAAAAAGCCTATGTAGGAGACAGCCTCATCTGGTGCGGATGGAAGTTCAACTTTGCCTACGAAACAGTTGAGCTGTGTGCAGCCAAACGAGCCAAGCTCTCGGCACAAATACAGGGCCTCTTGAGCAAGCCTAAGGTCCCCAGAAAGGATCTTGAAGCCTGCATTGGCCTCCTTATGTGGGCGACCAACATAAGCCAAGTACTGCGCCCATACCTGGCGCCTCTTTACCGCCTACTTAACAGCCCGCCTGGAGCCAATTACTCCATCGCCCCCAGAATGTGGCCCCTCTTTCTCCATTGCCTAGACTCGAGAGCAGTCTTTGTTCGCGAAGCTATGGGGCTCAGTATCCCCTTAAACTCTAGAGTTATAGAATGGGGTAACAAACCAGTCCATTGCAAATCCGACCTGCCTCTCATGGCCAAGTCGACAGGACATACGTGGATAAGGATATCAGACCCTTCATGCCCAGTCATCAAAATGACCCGGGCAGCCCAGACAAGCCTAGCCTGGTTAGCCCCTCGCATAGCCGCTATCCCTACCACACCTTTGTCCATGCCGCCGATCCTCAGCAGCCTAGCTCGAGCTGATGCAATGGCCGAAGGAGACCAGGTGGGGATAGGGGGTTGGGTTTCTACCAAGCACAGCCTGGCTTGGTTTGCAGAAGCCTATACCATGGA